AATAGGAAAATAGAGAAGTGTAAATCTGAGCAGATATAAGCAATAAGGCATAGGTTTACACTATCAGTTTGGCTGGAAACGAACCAATAAATAATAGCTAGTGTAGGAAAGGAGGTGGAGACTCAGCCACTACTGGGAGTGTCTAAAGGGCTAGAGTCCTTCTGGAGAATAAGACTACCACAGTGAAATTAAATTTGTCAACATCCTGTGACCCAGCATTCCCACTGACGGATACTAGCCCAGAGGAACTCTCCCACAGGACTGAAGGAGGCGAGGAGGAGATGTCCATCACTGTTGTAGGGTCTGGGAGTTGCAGGCAACATTTAGGGGAAAAGAAAAGTGAAATGGAATCCCAAGCAGCCATTAGAAGCAATGAGCTAGATACACATGCAGTAACATGGATAGATCTTAAAAACATAGTGTTAGGTGGGGAAAAAAAAGAATGAGATTTATAGCATAATATGTCATGTAAATTAAGACACTCACAAAACAATGTTTTGCAAAGCTATATACGTATTCAGTTTATCTATCAAATATATTAGCGTGGGTGCCTAATGGAGGAAGGAGATGAGAGTGGAGATTATGGATGAAGGGGAAAATATTATAAAACTAGAAGCTGAGAGGCATCAGAGCATAGTGATTAAGGGCATGGACTCGAGCACCTGGGTCTGAATCCCAGCTCTGCCCCTTGCTAGCTCTGTTACCTTGGGCAGGTAAGTTAACCTCTCTGGTTAAGCTTCTCCATCTGTAAAAAGGGTCTGGGAGCTAATCTCGAAAGATGGCCTCAGTTCTGCCCTTCTGCGTGTGTGCAAGCAGCTCCTCCCTTCATGAGGCTGGGCCTGTGACTGCTTTGACCAATAGGCTGTGAGGAGGTGACCTTGTGGGACATCCAAGCCCAGGCATGAAGCAGGACAGAAGTTTCTTCCCTCTTGGAGCCCTGAGCTGCCATGGAAAGAGAGGGGCCCTTGAAGCTGAGAGACAGGCCACAGGAAGAGCACTTGGGCCATCTGACTGTCTGAGACACCCAAGTACGACCAGAAGAGGCACTGCCCAGGGACCACCCAAGGGAGCCTGAGTCAACCCACGGAATAGTGAGATGCAATAAAGCGGTTGGTTTAGCCCACTAAATTGTGGGGTGGTTTGCCAGGCAGCAATAGACGAGGTCGTTGTGAGGATTAAAGGAGGTAATTTTCAAAGTGCTGAATAGCACATGGCTCATGGCAAACGCCTGGCACAATGTACATACTTGTGGAATAAAATAGAACAGGGACCCATATAGGCTAATGGTGATAGAAAGTGTGTCATGGACTGAAATGTATGATTAACTCAATTCTTTGCACCTGGTGCCCACAAAGAAGCTAAAATAAAACCTCTGATAGGGTCCATATATTCACTTCCTTGACAGGGTAACTATGGCTCCAATAGGTGAAAAGTGTGTTCAGAAAGGAGAGCTTCTCAGAATGAAGCACGGCTCCCAGAGCCGATCTCCTTCTGCTGTCTCTGTGCACAGAATTCAGAGCCTCCAAGCAGGCACTAGATGTATGAGCTCAGTGACTCATGAGTCCCTCATTTCTGGGAACGCAGACAACTGATGGAACTGTATTTGTTTTCCTCTGTAGCACTAGATCCAGAACCAGCAAATTTTTTTTTTATCGGTGATGAATTCTCAATTAGCCATAGGCTCCAGTCTCAGGAAATGCCAGGATAATTGAAATCTACACAGAATTCAAAGATCTCAATCAAGTCAGTAATTTCAACCTCCGGAAGGGTCCCTTACAATTCTTTTTACTCCCAAGCACAGTGTGCTCAATAAATATCTACTGATTATTTAAAATTAATCCTTCTTCTTTTTGAAAAGGATTTAAAACTCTTTGTTTGTGGTCCTTCAAATTGTTTATCAAAGTCATTTGCCAAAACACAAGCTAGGGGAAATAACCCAGACATTAGCAACAGTGAGTGGAAGGAAGGGGAGGGAAGGGCAACGCCTTTCATTCATGAACTACTGGGAGGGAAGCCCTACAAATTCTACAAGGACCGTCTGAGGTAGGTATTATCCCCATTTTACAGAGGCAAAAACTGAGGCTTAGATAGGTCCACAATCAGCAGCTGAGACAGTGCAGAGCCAGGTTCAAACCCAGGTAGTCTGACTCATAGCTGGGTCTCTCCCGTCCTATCGCACTGGGAAGCAAAGAGCCAGACTCACCCCAGAACAATTAAATGGCAAGGGAAAGGCTCTATGCCCCAAAGCCAACTCCTAGACACTGAGACTTCTGTAAAGCCAAAAAGGTAGATGGTAGAACATAACAGCCTGCGTATTTCTGCAGAACTGACACATGTGGAGAGCGTCTGCAGTTGCCCAGGCATCACTATCTGGAGAGCCGACTTGTCACCACTCCAGCCTCCACAGCACCAGGCCTCACTGGCAGCAGCCTGCTGGATCCTCCACATGCTTGGCGGAGGGATGGCATCCAGCCAGATCCATCCTTGTCCCAATCTCTTGCCCTAAATAATCCTGAGCCCTGTCCCCACTAGCTGGCCCACCTCCCATCCCAGGTAAGGCTTCAGAATCACACCCTATTTCTCATCCGGTGCTAGGGCTACAAGCTGTCTGGCTGATCTTCAGGTAGCTTCTGGGAACACTCTGGATTAAAGTGGAAAGGAGGTATGTGCTGATTTCCCTTTCTACATGTCTTTCATCCTTAATTTTTTCAGCTTGGGGACACTCCCTGGTGAGGACAGGCTGAAGACAACATTTTTGTGCACACCATGCCCGCTCTGTGAGCTGTGTGGTGTCAGGGGGGCCGAGACAGACCCGGGCCGGGTGGATCAGTGCCAAGAAGGGAACAAAGAGCCCCGGGGAGGAAATGGAACCTTCAGCTGGCCACTGGCCAAGTGCAGATAGCCGGCTGCTGTCTCACTTCCATTTTCTCCTGGGGCTCCTCTACGCCCCCAGATGAGTTACTTTCACTGCAAATGAAATGACTGTGGCTGCAGCCCAGCTGAAAGTGACAATCCAGGGCACTCAGGGCACTGGGAATGGAGACCAGGACACGAAAGACAAGTACAAGTAACTTCCAAGTCATGCCATTTATTTTGCCTAAATTGAGTTTTACAGCTCCTCTGTGTGTCGGCTCAGTTCTCTGAGGAGCTGTAGAATTTGTGTGCCGCTCTGTGTTCTCTGTCCTGGCCCTGAATGAAAACACGCAGACACACGCGCATGCACACATGGGGCAGGCAAGAGCACGCTGGACTTGTGTCAGCTGTCAGTTTCCCCCTCTGGCTTCCCTGGGATGCACCCTTGTCTCTACCTAGTATTCTCAAGACAAATGGTCAGGAGAGGACGCAGCAAGAGCGCAGATGAGAGAGGACTGTGCAAGGAGTAGAGGAAGGGAAGCAGTGAACCACCAGAATCCCTTCCCTGCCCCTCCTTCTTCCTCTCCCTGCTTCATTCTTGATCTTTCACAAAGAAAGAGGACAATCAGCAGGGCTGCTGGTAACCTGTGCAGCACCTTCGCACCAGTTAGCAAAAGGCAGCCCTGCTTCCAGGGAGATGCAGCATGGTTGGTGACAGACGTGGAGCCTGGACTGCAGCCCCGCCTGCCTCCTGCCCTCTGGGCTGGTGCCTTAGTGCATACGCTCAGTTCCCTACACTCTCCCACCTTGAACGACGTCAGGGTTAAAGGGCCAAGAAAGGATGACGTGTCCTCCAACAACTTTCAGAATCTCAGATGAGCCCTGGTGCTGACGGAGCACGGAGTCCCTCACAGGAGGTCCCAAGTTGGAGGCCTGGGAAGGGAGGCATGATGCTACTCCGGGAGGCCGGGACTGTCCTGCCCACCACCGCACATGCAACCTAATCCTTGCGTTTGGACTCTGCTTTATTTCCCAGGGTGGGGATGCAAATACGGGGGAAAGAGACATGGCACAGGCACAGTACTAACCGCCAACCTTCCCAGTGCAGAAGCCCCAGCGAGCTGCCTGCCTTCAGTATTTCGCATCACTATATCTCATCTCATGGACCAAGACGGCAGGAATTCTCTGTAGCCAATGCCAACAGGAAATGATCCTGGGAATCTGCTGCTTCCTTAATTCATGGAGGAAGCCGGGAGGAGAAAGGGTATGGTCCTCTCATGAATGTTTGTGCCATTCAGTGGGGAGGTGTCACTGGTTCACCTGACAGCTCAGGGACCAAGGCTGGTTGGACGTCATTTATCAACTGTATTACAGGGCTGCAATCCACAAGCTACCAAGTTGGACTCTTGGCTCCGGAAATTTAATGTGTGACAGCTGCATGCAGCCAGTGGTGTCCAGCATTTTAAAAAGGTCAATTAAGAAACGGTTGATGGTGGTGCAGCTAATGACAGCCCAGAGGGGTGACAGGGCCGAATAAACAGAAGGGCTGAGACGTATATTACTGGAATTGAAGTGTGGGAGTGAAGCGTATTGGGGAGGAAATCTATTGTCACAAGCCATAAAGCACATCTGAGTCTTGCAGTGGAGAGTGGTACAGCTGTTTCCCTCCCCAGGCAGCGTGGGGAGCAGTCTGTGGATGGAGGGCTCTGCAGACAAAGGTGAAACTGCATCAGCTTGATCAATCTGCAGACAAAAATCGTTACTCTCCTCACTGCCTGTTCCTTTGCACTTTCCTCTCTCCCACTTGGGGAGCATAAGGCAGACGCTGGAGTGATATTTGGAATGTGGGTCATGTTCTAGAAATCCGTATTTTAAGCATTCCCCAAAGCTGGGCTCCGCCTCCGCCTCCTCCTCCCGGCGTGTGGGTGGAGGGGTAGACTGCGGGAGGCTGAGCGCCAACCCGAGCAAGTGCTTTCCTCAGACGACAGGTCTGCTCCCCGGCTCCAGTGAACATGCGAACGCAGGGTGCGGTTTAGACCCTTTACACTGCGACGGACAAAAGAGGGACACGAAGCCCTTAGAAAAAGTCTATTTCAGCCTGTGACAGAATTGGCTCATGGCTGGGGGAAGGCACTGTGTAGGGCTTCTGAAAATCAGACAAAGGGGTCTTAGACTGCTAGGACAGGCTTTTTTGCCACATCTACCTGTCAAGCTAGAAATTCAATAGAGCAATGGGAATGCTAATTGATATGCAAAACAGGTCCAGGGTTCCTAGAAATGTCTAATGATCCTCCAATTCATCGTGAATGCAGAATCGAGACGGGCACTCAATGAGATGGGAGTAAGAACACCAACCTTTTCGCTTTTCCTCTTTTTTAAAATCTACTTTGGGAAACTTCACAGGTTTTTATGATTAAAAAAAAGTATTGCAATCAGTGGGGTTTGTCTTTCACACACTGGATATTTATTATTAGAAAATAGCTTCTATCAGCTGTCAGTACCAAACAAGTTGAAAGTAGCGTGCTTCTCACCATAATTTTTTTTTTCTCCTTAACGAAATTTAAATAAACAGCTCACTGTGGGGAGAGTTGCCACGCCTTTTTTTCCTTTAAAAACTGAATAATTCAATGAAGTTTAGTACAAAACATTCTCCAAATATGACTTGTTCTGCAGTTGTTATGCTGTCCCCTTGAGTAAGGGACATAAAAGAGATGAAAAAGACCATTCAGGCTATCAAATACCCCAAAGAATCTACAGTAGGAACCAGAAAACAAATAAGCTAACCCCAACAAAACCCATCCAAACCAAGAAACCAGTTTTAACATTGGCTTTTCAATTTTGATTATCATCTAAGTTTAATATATATATATTTGAAATAGTAATAAAAAAGGAAGAATTGAATTGCATCTTTAGCAGGACAACCTTCCTCATCTGTTAAAGAGGTGTTCAGAAAATTCCATACAGTATCTGCTAAATAAACATGTTTGGCAGCTTAGCAAATATCATATGATTGCAGCATCCATGATTTGAAGTAAAATAGCGTTTGCTTTCTTCTGGCAGAGTTCGTTGCTCAGGATGATGTGCTAACACGGCTCTGGATGTTCTTAGACCCACAGGCTTAAGGAAGGGTTTGGGGGTGGCTCAGTGCATGGCCCCAGTGCAGAAACTTCCAGACCCCAAACAATGAGTCAACCAACCAACCACACAAATATCAAACGATTGTCTCCTTTGAGTTCCTCTTGACAGAATGGAGGCCCAGCAAGGACTGCTGGTTGGAAGGTACGTTGACAGACTTTGGAATGAGGAGAATCACCCTCTGATTGGTCCGACGCCATTCGTTGTACAATCGACAGTGGTACCTAAATGACACCTGAGGTTAGGAGAGGAAAAATAAGGGATTTCAGGTGAGCAGAAGCTGATAATCAATCCAAGAAACAAATATGTCATTTAAAACAGCTCCAAACAGCTGGCAGCAGTAAGGTGGGGGGAGAACACTGGGTGAAGCTGCTCTAGCCAGCAGCTGAGTTGGGGGGCAGATTGGGCACCAACCCAAGACCCCACATGTGGACCGTGGGCAGGGAGCCCGTGGTGGCTTCCTTCATTCCTCCTCGTGTTGGGTAAAATCAGGGTATACATGGAAATGAGGTTCCTTCTGAGTTTGGATTTATTTTCGGGGGAGTGATGTTTGGGCCCCAAACCATCAGTTGTGAAGAAGGTTGGCTGGAGGCAGCAGGGCAGAGTGGGTACAGCGCCAGCCCTTGCCCAGTTGTGGGCAATGTGCCTTTCTGGACCCACAGATTCCTCTCTCTTAAATGAGAGGGATGCTAGGGCTTCAGGTACTTCTGAATGCTGGATGTTCTACAACTCAAAGGACCCCATTTACACTGACTATGAGAGGAAGGGTACTCCTCATACTGTGCTGTGGACAACCTGCACAACTGTACTTGGTGGCCCCGATGTGTGATACCCAATTGCCTCCAGCTCCAGCATTTTATGGCTTCCAGTGAGGAAGCTTTGGCGTGGGCACCCACTCCCCTAATAAGTTCTTCCTGAGCCTCAGGCTGGGTTAGGTGCGACTTCCATGGGCATCCACAGCACCTTGTGCCTACCTCAGCATGGCATCAAGTACCCTGTACCTCACCATCCTTGTTTCTCTCTCTCTCTGCACTAGAAGCTTCCAGAGCAGGGCTTCTGTCATATTCATCTTTGCATGCCCAGCACCTATCACAGCGTCTGGCAATTAGGAAGTTGCTCAGAAGTTTGCTGAGTGAATGGATGAGTAAATAAGTATCCTACACTTTCTGATTGCAACCCTGCTTCAGACAGAAGTCTCTCTTACATAATACACAACAGTAAACCCATGGTCAATTGTGACATAACTGTGCCCCAAAAGCGTTTCCTTCTCATGTAAATATACTGGAATGAGAGGCTTACATCTGTGGTTTGTTTTGGAGAAGGCTGCCATAAAGCACTGATGGACTGCCCAGGAAATTCAGAGTCTGTACTTTCAAAGGTACACAAACTGCCTTTAAAATTAGGGTAGGTTCCAGTTTGAGTGCATCCAGATGACCAGGTAAGTGCTGAGAAGGAAGGTGCCCATAAGCTTAGGGTGACAAATTACCCAGCTATGGGCTGTTTAACCATCTGGGGTGGGTGGGCTGCGTTGACCCCAGTAGAAGGTCCATGGTGGTCAGAGAGTGGGCTGCCCAATGATTTGAGCTTAGTGTTTCTGGAAATGGAGGAGAGTGTAGGCCCTTGATCAGAAAGGGCCTGTTAGTCTTCATGGCAGGATCATGACATTCAAGGCTGCTCGCTCAAATTTCTGAGGCTAGAAAGCAGATGCCACAGGCTGAGTGCCAGAGAGATTTGGGTACGAAAATACAAGCTTTTAAACTCACACAGATGTGCTTTTCTCCAAAAAGCCCTGAACATGCCAAAGTGGATCAGGGTTTTTTTCGTTCCCCTTTTTTTTTTTTTTTAAACTTGATTCTCTGATTTCTATTCTGTCCTGCTGCTGCTTGGTGCTACTCATGAACGTAAGGGAGGCAGGCTGGAAAGCCTGCTGCTCAGGGCCAAGGGCAGGAAGAGGTAGAACATAGACAATTACTAATGAAGAGCTCCGGCAGTACAAGAAGTCTGGAATCTGGAAATATTCCAGAAAAGCTGGATTTCAAGTCGAGAGGCCCTTCCCCCATGATGCTCAGCATTAGGTAAGCAGAGAGGTAGCTGTGGGTGCAGGCAGGCAGCACCTTCTTCTATAGCACAGGGAGCAGGTCGCGAGCTCTGGGGCCAGGCACAGGGGACTTGAATCCCCATCCTCCACCTAGTGGCTCTCTGACTTTGGAGGGTTTGTTTGCTGTCTCCAAGCTTCAGTTTCCTTGTTTGCAAAACGTGAGTAATGATATCTGAGATAATGCATAAAAAGCACTTAGCACAATGCCTGACACACACGTTAGTGTTCTCGGCCTGTTATTTCTGATGTGTTAAATATGGGAAAGGAGACGATAATTTTGTGACACTCCTTAGATATGAGAAACGAGGGGGCAAAAAAGAGGTTGGGCTATTTCTCTCGTTCTCACAGGCTGCACCACCTTAGAATATCAGAATGTGGGGCTCCACCCAGACCTAAGGAATCAGAGCATACAGTTTAACAAGATCCCCAGGTGATTTGCATGTACATTCAAGCCCGAGAAGCACTCCTTCAAGGAACACAAGTGGTCAACGATTTAGTGGGTCTCCTGGTTCCTGGGCCAGAAAACACAAAAATCAGCCCACTTGTTTAGACAAACAAATAAGATCTTATTATGCATTAATCTATCTTAACTGCTGTTAACCACCACAGTTTGCAGGCAAATTCAATCAATATGAAGAAAGTACCATATGAAGATGACTCCTTATCAGGGAAAATAAAGGAAGTTGGGCAGAATACAGGAGGGACCACGGCTTGCAACTGCTCTGGGTTAATGCCAGCTCCATCTCCAGGAGCTCCAAGTCACTCCCTCCCCGCAACGGGATAGAAGAGGAAAAAACGAGGTTTGATTTAGAGAAGTAAAGAGGCAGCGAAGAAAAAACAAACATAAGCCAAAAAGAAGCTATGGCAATATTAACCTTGGGAACTTCATTTAGATATTTCCTAAATTTCCAAGGTTTTAAGGAGAGAGGAGGAAGAAAGAGCACAAGGCCACTATTTTAAAATTACTACTCCTTCTGGGATGGTTTACTTGAAGTGTTTTCATTTATTCATCCAAGGATATTTATTAACCTCCTATCATGGGCAAGGTCTGTACAGACTTGTGGTCACATGGGTGGCACAAGGAGGGCTAGAATATATTAGCATCCACCTCTCCCCGTCAGGGAGGTGACAGGCTGTGGCCCAAAGTTTGCTGTAAAGTCACAGCAGGCTTTGGGAAATCTTCTCATTATGTAATTTTATTCTGCCCTTTCTCTCTGGAGGTTATGGTGCAACCCAAGCATATTGATGGGGCCAGGGCTTTGTAAGTTGCATTCCCCAAAATGGGCCCAGCTCTCTGATCCCTGATTGCGCTGGGGAAGAGAAGAGGACTGTGTGGGAGTAAATCAACTCAGAGAAATGCCCCGCACAGGATCAGTGAACACCCTCGGGCTGCCCTGGGCTGTTTGGGGGTGTTTAAACCAGCCCACAGAGAACCTTGGCCGGACAGCATTCTATTGGAGGTTTCTCCCCTTTATAGCGAGAATTTACATGATTAACCCATGGGACTGGGAGTCAGCTGGAGGAACCGGATTGTTCATTCATTTCGGTCTGTGATTTAACCCAAGTTTCTGTGCTGGGCACTGGTTGCAGTGACAGAGAATGGAGGGGCTTCCTGTGGGTCACTGCCCTCTAAACCGGGGCTAATACGAATTCCACCGTGGACAATCTCTTAACGCTTAGTGCAGACTCAGTTCTCATCTGGCTCTCTTGGTGTCTGTGCACAGACTTCAAATGGTTTGTGACACGAACAGTGATGTTTCTGGGGCACCTCTCCCCTGAGCTCTCAGAGTGGAGTTGGCTGTGGCCGTGGCCTCCTGGCTCTTAGACGCTTGCGTTTCCACACAGCAGGTTCCAGAAGGCAGAACTCCCCAAGTTTGTGTCCAGACGGGGCCTCGTGGCCACGTAAGCCGGCAAGGAACTCCAAAGGCACTTTCGGGTGTGCAGTGCAGGTGCGTGTCCCTCTTCACAGTGCCCAGGAGGCCCTTCCAGGAAGGCTCTCTGAGGAGCCAGGCTGGCACTGACGCCGTGTTTGTTTATCTAAGACATTTTCACAGCATATTCTCCTTAAGCTTGACAGCTTGTTTACAATGGGTTTCTGCTGGAGGGCAGTTTCCAGAAGCTGTCAGCTTCTGAATTATGGCTCTTGCCAGGGCCGCTCAGCACAGCATTTATCTGGGAAGGACTTAGTCTAGACTCCGTAACCTATTGCTGAGCTGATGCCGCAGCACGTTTTTCACACCAGTCAAAGGGGACAAATGCCTTTCTTTCCCTCCAGCTGCTCTGCATTTTACGGAGGGCTGGGGGGCGGTGGGAGCTGGGGGAGCAGGGCAGAAAACTCAGTGCTTTTGCTGGGTGCTCTGATATACGTTACTGATGTTATCCCATCTAATCCTCACTACAGCCCATTGACCCAGGGGTTATCAATCATTTTTAACATAAAAGGAAGGATGATCAGAGAGGTTAAGTACCCTGTTTGAAGTTACACAGCTATTAGGATGCTAAATCTTGAGTTTGAACACAGGGCCTTTGGATTCTAAATGCATGTGCTTTTCACTACGCAGCATTGCCTCTTGGCAACATTTCTGGAATGAAGTATATTATCACTCTCCTGAAAGAGCCTACTCCAGGTACCTTTCCCACGCAAACCTTCCTTTCACCTGAGATGGGAGATGAAACAGGGTCACACCCATTTTTCTCTAGGTAATCTTTTTCTTTTCTTCCTTCTGCTCCCCCTCTCCCCTTTTATTTCTTTCTTGTTGGGTAAGTGTATGCTCTACAAAGCAGGTTTTCAAAAACGTCTTAAATTGGTTTAAAAGCCCAGCATTTGGGTCTACATCTTCATCCATCCTTCATCTTAGGAACTCTCTAAGAAAAATCACAGACTAGTAAACCTCTAAACATGGTAAAAACTTCACTTGATTATTTTCCAAAGTATGTTCCCGTGTAGTCTTTCACTTCAATCTCATAAGGCCCGGAGAAGTTGGCACGATGGGTTTCACTATCATCCCCACTTTACAGATGAGGACACTGAGGCCCAGAGAGGTGCAATGACTTTCCCAAGGTGGCGCAGTTGACAGGGAGTTAGACAGTGCTAGGCAGATGATTTAATTTCTTATTTCTAACCCTCTTATCATCACAGTGTCCTTGTGACTTCTGAGTCAGTTTCACTGCCTGAGTCACAACCAATCAGGACACATTTTGGAAGCGTAGACTTCTAAAGGAGGCAATAATAGTTTCGCTTGGGGGCTTCATTAGGCTAGGAATGAATGCCTAAACTAACTAGAAGGCTTGGATAAAGTTTGCAGCATCAGACCACTCCCTATTTACCAAGGCTCAAGTCATGTCCTTCTTCCTGACACTGAAATATGTCCCCCATTCACTGTCTGAATGCTCTTACCCGAGGGGAGGTACAGAGCTGGAAGAGCCACGCGATGAACAAGAGGGAAATGAGCAGTGGGTTGTGGTCAGGGTTGTAGGAATGGCAGCTGGTGGAACAGGGTTTGGGAGACAGAGGGAGGGGGGAAGTGCGAGCGCTAGAGGCTTCCTCATGTTGACACTGTGCGTGACATGGGAATGTACACTTTAGACAGGAAAGACATAGTGAATAACAATGGAACGTGCTCAGATTAGAAGCGAGCAGGCACAGAAGAGTAATGCCAGGAAGCAGGGGGCCCGGTTTCTGAAACTATTCTAGGGGATAGTGACGTTCTTCCCTGCAGGTCCCAGGGAGAATCATAGGGAGAGGGATCACGTGCTGCACTTTGTGGGTGCTGCCAGTGGGTGCCTGAGCAATCAACTTACTTCATGAGTAAGGATGAAAAAACAGAGATGTTTAAAAATGCTTCCTCATATACAGTGGGAACACTGGGAAATGGTTGTTCTTTGGTGGAGGCTTCCCAGCTAGATAAATGAGTGTATGGGCAGCAGAGTCAATATCCCAACGCACAGAATAATCATCAGGCAAAGTGCAGCTCCACTCCAAGAAAGACTTTAGGCTGTGTCAGGATGTAAGGAGAAAACAAGCAGCAGGAGGATTCACGATCTGTGCAGGCAGCAGCGGCCAAGTGCATCATTCATAATACACTACGATCCCAGCAAAAGTAGGCACATAAGAGAAAGCAAACACCATGCCTCCTAACAGATGGAGTCCGAGACCCCTGGAGGAGAGAAATGCCCGGGCTGTGTGTCTTTGACTGATGGGCTCTCTGAAGCAGGGGGTTTTCCTGTACTTGATCTGCTCTTCCCAGCAGTGCACACACGTACACACACACACATGCGCGCGCGCGGTACTAAACCAAACCACATGCTCTCGCATTTGGTCTGTCCTCTACCGAGCAGGTAAGATGTGTTACAGACAAGCGGGAAGGCTGTGCCAGCTGTGGGGCTGCCAGCTCCAGCTGGCCTGATGCCCCCGGGCCATGGGCCATACTTACTAGTGTCCAAAAGAGGTAAATAGTGAAGAGTGCGACAGTGAGTGCAATCAGTCCAACGGCTTCGAGCCGACTACTAAAGTGCAGGTGGTCCACGGCGCCCCGCAGGCACAGCCAGCCTGAGATGGTGGCCAGGGGAGTTATGAACAAGAAGCACACCATGTCTCCAAACAGGGTCCGCTTCTCATGCTGGGGGCCTGGGTTTCTGAGCCACTGCCAGGGAAAGGGAGACAGAGAAAAACAAGGAAAAGGTTAAATACCAGTGCGGAGTGGAGACACTACTTTGAGGTTGTCTTGGTCTTCAGAATCTGGGAAAAGTCATTTCTAACCTGTTTTGAAATCACAAGGAAGCATTAAGGGCTCATTCGCATGCCCCTGCCCCTTGAATAATAGTGATTATGATAATAATGTAATATGACAATAGCAATTATGATAATAATAAATAATAGTAATAATAAAAGTGTCCTTGCTGTAGATGGCTTTCTGTTTTTGAAAATAGTTCAATGGTTACTATTATGAATCACAATGACCCTATGTGAAACGTAGAGAGGATGTTATTTTTAGAAGGTAACAGTTGAGGTGCAAGAAGTTCTGTCCCGTGGTCAAAGCCTTCCAAGGTCTTGACTCTGGGAATGTTTGCAGAAAAGAGATACTCAGCAGGCTTGGGTTGCTCAAATCCTGCACATTCCCAAGAAAGAGCTGGTTTCAAGATTGGCTCCTTGAGTTCTGAGTCCTTGTGATATTCTGCCTGACAAGAGTGTTTTTCTATGCCTGAGGCCTTGGGTTACACGGTACCAGTGTGACCAAATAGTTTATGCCAAAGTGTGATTTCTGCTGAACACCTATTTTTGCCCTGGGGAGCTGGAGTTTGAGCAGCTGGGGTCAGTCACGCAGGTGCTGTATGCCTATGTGACTGACCCCAATAAATACTCTGGACACCAAAGCTCGGTGAGTGTTATCCTGGTTGATAACACTTTGCATGTGCTGTCACAAATTGTTGCTGGAAAAATTAAGCACATCTGTGTGACATCATTGGGAGGGGACACCTGGGAGCTTGTGACTGGTTTCTCCTAGACTTCACCCATGCACTTTTTCCCTCTGCTGATTCTCATCTGTGTCCTTTTGCTGTAATAAACCATAACCATGATTATAAGAGCTTTTCTGAATCCTGTGAGTCCTTCTAGTCAATCACTGAACCTGAGGGTGGTCTTGAAGACCTCCCCCCCTAGAATGAGACTCATCTGACTCCATGAACTCAGTAATGACCCCTCCCTCAAGTTTTAGGACCCTGAACCTCCTACTTAGGACCCTCTGACATCTTAAGTGTGCTATCATCTTGATTGAGCCAACCCCAAAAAGGATGGCAAAAACTTTGTGCTTGTTGAAAGACCAGAGATGAGAATTTCTACAGGATAGGAAACAGGGCTGTTGTCCTCCCACTTGGAGAATTGCTGAAAGCCTGCTGAAATGTTTTCCATAATCCATTCTAGGAAAAGTCATGCTTACACACTGGTGTCAGTAATAGTGGTAATGAGGCCTTTTGGCTTTTCTTCAGCTTAGCATTGAAACATGTCCCCAAATAATTTGACATTCCCGTCTCACTATCCCATGTAGTAATGACAGAGGACAAGGAGTCCAGAGAAGGAGTGGGGTCAAACACAGATGATGGGTGGGGGCTGGGAGAGACAGTGGCTGACTCCGTCTTCCATCTCGTCCCACCAACAAACGGCCTAACGCTGCTGTGGGCTGGCTTGCCAAACAAGCTGAGCAGACACCCCAAGTGGCGGGGCAGCAATTCCCACAAAACCGTTGGTGGGAGGGAAAGGACTATGATAGGGGAGACAAGAGTGGGCGGAGCTGACTGGAGAGAAGGGAAGGCCATGCTCAAGGGCAGAAGGAAGAGACGGAAGAGCCGCAAAGAGGGCAAGCAAGTCGAGAAAAGAGCAGTGTAAGGGCAGCAAAAGCCTCGAGGAGTGAGCAGAGAAACAGGAGGGAAAAGGCACAGAAGCAAGCTCTCTGGGAGGTGCCCGTCCCCCAGTGTTTGCCTGAGGGAGGTATTAATGACCTGGAATGCCCGACATCCCTCTTTCGAGGGACAGCCCACCTTAAACATGGGCTGAGGCGCTGAAAGTCAACCTCAGCTCAAAAATGGACCTGTATAAATACTAAAAACTAGATAATGGGCAGCTGACTTGTCTGTGACTGTAAATATAGCATTATAAAAATTTAATATAAATACCAAAGTGATCAAGTGCAAATGATATTAACCCTGCCACGTGTTGTCATGCCACCTCAGACATCTCAGCAGCTTCAAAGAAATTCAAAGAGTTCTTATTAATTAACATGTTCTTGTCTAAATCCTGGGAATACTGCTATGAAGCGGAGAGTAGAAATCGGGCATTATTATCCCAATTTTACAGAGGCTCAGCAAGGTCAATGATTGCTCCAGGTGACTCGGGGTTGAACTGAGAAGAGGATCAGGATCTGTCCACTCTTGTTTAGATGTCCTATCAGTGAAATATTTGAAAATTAAAATTGCAAGACATTTAGCAATCCTGATTCTTAAACAATGGTGCCCAAAATACAGCCACCTGACTCCCTGCTTCCCTGGAGGCAGATCCGTAAGCCCAGCCTACTTTCCTCTGTATCCGCACTTGTTGGAACAGAGGTTCTCAGTAAACGTGACAGATGTGTGCAGACAACCTAACCTCATTGGCTAAGACTTCCCCCATTTCCTTTTGCTTGGAAATTCTGAATACATTTTATTAAAATGAATTTAGTGCTTTACTTACTTATGTGGTCCTTGACATTACCCAAAGAAATGACTCACCTTCTGGAAGGAGGTAATTATGAATCACTACTTATCTCTGTCTGATGTAAAATAAACTGCAAAGGCAAACTAGAAATTGTTCCCAGTATCCTATTTCCTAATTGTTCTCTGATCTTCTATATTCCTGAAAAATTTCCAGGCCATTTTATATGTCCATGATCACCCAATGCCTGGAGTCCACATCTTATTAACTCTCTCTATATATTTTTGGCTCAGCTTACTCTTTGTGTTGTTTGCTCCTGGGTCATATTTAAGTATGAAGTTCTTTAAACAGGTACTATTATGTTAAAATCTGTGACTCCTTCAGAACCTCAAGTGTTATTTATCTCTTACACAAATGCAGGCCCCATGAACAAGACCAGTGGCAATAATCTGTTATTGAGAAAAAAACTGCCCTGTGCCATGGTAACAACCTCTGCCAAAGTATCCAAATAGGTTGATACAGGGTATTTATACAAGCAGAGTTTATAGCAGAGAAAATTTGATTACAGCTCAATTTTCCAGCAAAAGAGGACTATCTAAATAAATTATGGGATTTACTTAAAGTAGAATATGATATAGTAATTTCAAATGATGATGTACATTTTATATTTACTGACATGATATACTGCTGAGTAGAAAAAGAATTCTACTGGACAGAATGTGATCCTTTATATGTAATAATGTATTTACATACACACAGACATTTACATTTACATAGATGTAGTGGATTTACATAGACAAAGACCAGAAGGATACCCAGCAAAATAGTGGCTATTCTTGGTGGTGGAATCATGAGTGGTCTTTAATTTGTTTCTTTTCGTATATATTTTCTTGTTTTTCTGAAGTGATCATGGATTACCTGTGGAAATATGTATGTATGTATTAGCTGTGTACAAAGCATCTAGAGAGATGGAGACACACACACACACACACACACACACACACGGAGAGTCAAGGGAGCCAGGGGAGGGAGGTGTCTAGCTAGTGTACAGCAAACTATAGCAGTAAAAAATCTACCGCTGAGCTATGGCTGCGGCAAGCTCGGTGCTAGAAATTTGGAATTTATGATGCAATATCTCACTGAGTCTTCACAGTAACCCTGTGAAGCAGGTGCCAACATTATCACCATTTTATAGACGCACACACTGGGGAGCCAAGAGTTTAGTCACTCACCTAAGGATAGATGGCAAGTGGGTGTTAGAGGTGGGATTCAAACCAGCCTCACTTCTCTGTTCCCTGCTTTTTCCATCTTTACATTTTCTTTCTGCACCAAATGGCATTTGTGTGTGTGTGTATGCGTGCACACGTGCACATGCATGCACCCACTAGATTTTTTGCAATTTTCAGCTGGGTGGGATATGGTAATAAGTCCTACTGTTTTATTGATAGATCAGGTAGCTGAATGGTTGGCTGGCCAGGACGTTATCATGGAAATTTTATAAAATATTCTTAGGCTGCTGTTCTATATTAATTCTTTTACCAAGCCACAATGAGGTCCATTTTCTGGGTGTTTAATCACAGCTACATTATCATGTATTTTGGCCTAATTCATAATAGACAAAAGGTTGATATCAGTTATTGTTCAATTACATTTCTTGCTCTTACATGTACTTTGCCTCTCTTATCACTTATATTTATTGTACATAGAGTATTATACCTATTCTGTAGCAGTATCTTCATGGCCCGAACATTCAATAAAAAGCAGGCCGAGGCAGATTGGCAGGTTTGTGTGTCCGTCTTCCCACCTGACCTGAGGTGGGCCCTTATCTTTATATCATTGGCATGTCGCACATTCAACATTCACAATGTTGAATGAATGACCATAGCTTATGTTTACTCACACCTTATGATACGGCCAGTATTGGCTTATATGCTACATGAAGTAGTTGATTTACTCTTCAATAATCTTTGAAAGAGGTACCATTATTATCACCACCATTTTTTTATTTCATTAATAAATTTATATATTTTTTGGTTTATTGTGGTAACATTGGTTTACAATATTGTATAAATTTCAGGTGTACATCATTATACTTCTGTTTCTGCATGGATTACATCATGTTCTCATGTTCACCACTCAAATACTAATTACAATCCTTCACCGCACACATGTGCCTAATTATCCCTTTCACCCTCCTCCCTCTCCCCTTCCCCTCTGGTAACCACCAATCCAATCTCTGTCTCTATGTGTTTGTTTGTTGTTGTTGTTATCTACTACTTAATGAGTGAGATCATACGGTATTTGTCTTTCTCCCTCTGACTTATTTCACTTTGCATAATACCCTCAATGTCCATCCATGTTGTCAGAAATGGCTGGATTTCATCGTTTCTTATGGCTAAGTAGTATTCCATCGTGTATAAATACCACATCTTCTTTATCCATTCTTCCCTTGATGGGCAC